ATTACCAGGAACCTGCCTTTTATTCACTGGGGGCCCAAACTCCTATCTCAGGATTCCACCTTTGATAATCCACTCTATTGTGTATTCTTGATCCCTTGCCCTTGCATAGGTATCGCAGTTGCTATACTGCTCAGTGTCCGCTGCCCCTCTCTACCAATCCCTCCAACTGGCTTCTGATTGCTCAGCAAATTAAATTCAAAATGCTTCAAAACAACATACAAAGCTATTCACAGCTCTGCCCTGAGCTACATCACCAGTCTTTTCTATCTACTCCTCTCATGATCTCCTGCTCTCCGACTCCCTTGTCTCCTCCCATGCTCTTCTCCAGGACCTCAGCAGAGACTCTCCCATCCTCTGGAACTCTCTACCTCAATTTGTCCGGCTATCCTCTACTCTTGCTGCCTTTAGGGGATTCCTGAAAACTCTTCAGGGAAGCCTATCACGCCACCCATTATACATTTATCACTTCAATCAGCTCATTCACCACAATTATAACCTTTTGTACCATTTGCCCCACCATTTTAGATTGTGAGCTCTTATGAGCAGGGCCCTCTTAATCCTCTTCTTCCTCCTTTTTTTTTTTTTTTTTTAATTGTAACTGCACTGTCTCCTTTTTATATTGTAAAGTGCTGCATAAACTGTCGGTGCTATATAAATCTTGTATAATATACCTTCTTGGAAACCAACTGAAATAATTGAAACAAAAATTGCAGACTGCTAGTAGTTGTAGGTTGTTTCCACTCTGAAACCCTTGGCTGTGATGTAAACTTTGGTAGTTGCAGTATATTTACTTCACCATCTGAGAGATTAGTCTGTATAGTGGCTCAGTACTACCACATGTTGAAGCCATAGACGTTGGTGGCTGATAAAGGTTTGCTAAGAAAACTGGCAAAGTAAAAATGCCTAGAAAGGTTGAAATTTGAGAATGTGCTATAAAGAGTCTTGGTTTGATGTGTTGTTTTTAAAGTATGTTTTTATACTTTGTGAAAAAAGTAATTTACTAGTTATTATATTGCAGTGACTCCGTTCAACTGGGTTCAGCGGCAGGACCGGACACCGAATCCTCCAATGAAAAAGATACTTTGGTATGTAGAGTGAAACTGCTGACTTAATCCCTGGGTTTTTTTTTTTTCCCCCTTTCAGATGCATTCGACAAATATATAAAGGAGTATAAATCCCACTTGGAAGGGGAAGGTTACACTAGCTCGATGTGATAGTCGTTGCCTACTGTAACCAAAGTGGGTGTATGAAACCTGCCATAAAATGATAGGCCATGGATTGAAATGCTGCATTCACTAAATGTTGTAGTGACCAGTTAATGCTGCAGTAAAACCAAGCTCCATAGATCATATTAGGGGCTGATTTACTAAAGGAAGAGTTTTCATTTCTGACTGTGACTTCAGATATAAGTACACAAAAATTGTAAAATTTTAGTTTGGCAACTCCTATATTGATTCATGTGTGAATTGTTAGCAGGTCCACTTTAACCTCTTCGCGCCAGCCACACGCAAATGTGCGGCCTCCCGGCATCTGGGCCTTGACGCCGAGCGGCCGCACATTTGTGTGCAATTAAGAAAATATATGTGCTGAGAGTGCGCACCCTGCACTCTCCCAGCACACTTGTCCGGTACTCACGGAAAGGTCCAGATCTCCTCTTTCGATCAGGACCTTTCGAGATCATGTGACTGCCGTGAGAGCGAATCACAGCGGTCACATGACCCTAAAGCCCCACCTCCCGGCTTCTGAATCCTTAAAGGGCCAGGAGGCGCCGGCGCCAAGGGGTTAAAGTGATAATGAAGTTTCTATGTTACTTTGTACCTACAGGTAAGCTTACAATCTGGTTTACCTGCAGGTACAATGACCATCTCCTGCAGGTAAACCAGTTTAGGACAGGGGTGGGCAACTGTGGCCCTCCAGCTGTTGCTGAAATACAAGTCCCATCATGCCTCTGCCTTTGGGAGTCGTGCTTGTAACTGTCAGTTTTGCAATGCCTCATGGGCTTTGTAGTTCTACAACAGCTGGAGGCCACAGTTACCCACCCGTGGTTTAGGAGATATTCACATCAGCAATAGCCAATGACATCACACGTGCATGTACAGTGACACTGCATTCAGGACACACGGTATGCCGTGGAATGCATAGCGCCGTGCTGGGGTACCCACATTCATGTACGGGAGTGATGTTTTCATGGCCCCGGCCACTCACACAGCCGGAGTCCACGAACCTGAAAGGAAGACTGGGTGAAGATGGAAGTAGCGGGGGGAGCCATGACAAAGCTGCACTGGAGGGTTCTGCTTGCTGGTCGGGAAAGTCTGTTCTAATCTCCTAGTATGTGGTGCATAAACCTGCAGGTGGCTCAGTGGTGTGTGGGGTTTTTTTTTTTGCAGTTTACGGCTTCTCAAGTTGGCCATAGACATAAGTCCATTATCATATGAGCTAACTATTTTCAGATCACCTCTGGCCAAGAGCTGTTGGCTGGCAAGTTGGTGTGGTAGGATGTCACCCTGCTCAATAACCATTCTTTCCCCTGAGATAAGCAAATAAGCTGTTTACATCCCAAGGAAATTTGGCCCAGTGCTTAACTAGTTGCCGACCGCAGATAGCCGAATGACGGCTGCACTGCGGCCGGCCAGTTCTGGGTGGACGTCATATGACGGCCTCCCAGAACGCGCTCTCCTGCGCGCCCCAGGGGGCGCGCACCCGGCGATCTCCGTGATCGCTGTGTCCTACGGACACAGCTGATCACGTGATGTGGTAAAAGGCCGATCACAGCGGCCTTTTACCACGTGATCAGCGGTGTCCAATAACACGCTGATCAGAGGGAAATGCAAGTGCCGGTTCTCGGCTGCACTTTCCTCACGCTGTCAGATCGTGAGGAAAGTACTGCCGAGAACCGGCAGTTGTCAGAGCGGGGATCGGCACCGATCATCAGGGCACTGATGATCAGTGCCCTGATGATCGGTGCCCAGCAGTGCCACCCGCAAGTTCTGCCCACCTGTGCCCAGCAGTGCGCCCACTAGCTCCGCCCACCTGTGCCCACCCACCTGTGCCCACCCACCTGTGCTGCCAGTCAGTGCCCAGGGGTTGTGCCAGTCAGTGCCGTCTCTCAGTGTCACCTATCAGTGCCGCCTATCAGTGCTGCATATTAGTGCCGCCTATCCGTGACACCTCATTACTGCTGTCTATCAGTGCCGCCTATCCGTGCCACCTCATTAGTACTGCCTATCAGTGCCCATCAGTGCCGCCTATCAGTGCCCATCAGTGCTGCCTCATCAACTTACATCAGTGAAGGAGAAAAAATACCTGTTTGAAAAATTTTATAATAGAAACAAACGTTTTTTGTTTTTTTTTAATTTTTTGCATTTTCTTTATTTATAGCGCAAAAAGTAAAGCGCCCAGTGGCGATTAAATACCACCAAAAGAAAGCTCTATTTGTGAGAAAAAAAATGATCAAAATTTCATATGGGTACAATGTTGCATGACCGCGCAATTGTCAATCAAAGTGCGGCAGCACTGAAAGCTGAAAATTGGCCTGGTAAATAAGGGGGTATAAGTGCCTGGTAGGCAAGTGGTTAATGAATGTGCTGAAGTGTTTCTTTGCGAAGAAGACTCAGTCATGTGCAAGGAAAAAAAAATAGCATTTTTGCCTCCACATGATGGGATGATATAAGTCAGCAGATCTTCACCTTTAATTAAGCTAACTTCCTTGCAAAGTAAACAGCTTATAGGCTCCATTCATACTTGGGGTCCTTGCATGTAAATCAGTGATGAACAAATTGACAATGGGAGTTCCCAGCGACTAGATGCAGGAAGCAGCCTTTTTTAAATCAATGGGACACTGACCTCTCCCTCAGGTAATTGTGGCCAAAGGCGGCATCCAGGGCTTACCGCCCGCATGTAGTTGCTCCATAAATGATTCATGGCGAGCTGCTACAATTGGCGCAGGAGCTGTCAGCCCCTAAATTAATTTCCCTTTGGCTCCATTTGCAAGTGTGAATGAGAAGTTAGTAAATCAGCCCTGAGGTGTCTGCATTTCTTCTCCATTCAATTGAATCAATGATGGCTGACTGAAACTGTCTCCAGGTGATGGGTTTTAGGGTCCATGTTAAAGCCTAAATCCAGACAAAACAAGCTTCCTTGGTGTGAAAATTGCTTGGGCAGGTTAGAAAACATTACATAAAGCTATTGTCTTCCCTGGGCTAGGACAGTCTGCACGTCTCCACTTCCCTCTGCTATTGTAGAAGTAAAGTCCCTTTCTGATTTTAGTTTTGTTTGAGGGGCTTGACTTTCACTGACTTTATGGCTAAAATTTATCAACTGCAATTACCCTGTTCAATGAGACTGCTGATCCTAAGGCTGGCCATACATTATACAATTTTCTTGAGAAATTTTCTGTAGCTTTACCAAAAACCATACAATATGAGGTCATACCTAAACAACACTTTTCACTTGTATCCAGTCAGTCAGGCCCTTGCACTACATAGTTGAAGGTAAAGCTAAAGGAAATTGGACAGAAAACTGTATAGTGTATGTCCAGCCTAACCCCCGTGATGTTCTCATTGGACTGCTTAATGGCACCTAGTAGGTTTTTGCTGTTTAGTCATGAAAGAAAAACCCCCAATAACCAGGTAAAACTAAAGAGATGACACTAATTGTGTTATTTTTTGTTTTGGGTTCATTTTCTGCCTCTTCACTGACCTAAGCCACATTTTTTTACACCCACCCTCCCCAATCCAGCTTTGCAGATGGAGCTCACTTCTATTAGAGATTTCTTGCTGGCTGCAAGTAGGGGACCTGTGTCAGCTGCTGGGTCCAGGAGCCATTTTATAGTAGTGCTGGGACAAATGACTGCTCTCCTTTTTGTCCTTCTTTTTTTTTTTTTTTTTTTTAACATGGCATCAAGGACTACAGATTGTGAGTGTGTGTGTTTTTTTAATCTTTTTAACCACTTATGATAGTCTCTGAATTCTCCCCAGGACTCTACGGCCGAAGGTGAGGCCATGGATACTCAGACAGGATCAGTGGATGAGGAGAATGGGCGTCAGCTTGGGGAGATTGAGCTTCAATGTGGCATCTGCCTGAAGTGGTTTGGAGCAGATACATTTGGTATAGATACTACGTATGTGGTCCTATTCTCTTGAAATAAAATATTTCAAATAAAAAGCGATGAGTAAGGGTAGCTGAGAACATGTGCTGATAATGGATTATTTTTCTCTTAGGTCTTGTCTTACATTTATGACCAACTACAGCTTCCATTGTAATGTATGCCATCACAGCGGAAACACATACTTTCTGAGAAAGCAAGCCAGTAAGTCATTAGATGTCGGGTTGGGAGACCTGTTTTTGTTGGTTTCTAGTATTTTCTCTGGGAAAATGACAGACCGCTTGAGTATGAGCCCCCTCAGAGGATGGACACTGAGCAACAAAAAAAAAAGTTATCACTTCATTGAGTAAGATATAGATATATATATATATATATATATATAAAAAAATTTTTTTTTTTTTTTTTTTACCCCCAGTAAAATTATCAGGACAAGCTTATGAGGGGAGCTTTCTGCTTTTTCTAAGGTCCAAGCAGTCTAAGATCCATGGCTTTGTGTACTGCTGGACCTCAAGAAAGGGGTAATTCCCGAAAGCTTGTACTTGGCTGTTGCAAGTGTGCTAATATGGCTACAACCACCTTAAGATTGCTTGGCCTAGGTACACATCTATGCAAGTGTGGGACTACATGTAAATCGCACACGTTCACACACCTGCAGCAGAAACGCACTGCTGTTTAGCAGATTCCTGGGGTACCGTTAATTCTTATTGGTGCCTCCCATGCATTGATTTTTAGAAAGGTGCAGGGAATTATTTTATTTTTTCTCTGTGCTTTCCTGCAGGTACAGCAGCCCATTCATATGGATGGGCTGCTGTGCCTGTGCAAACACAGCCACATGGAAAGTGCCTAGATGTGTACCTAGCCTTGGAATATTTCTTCAGTAATAATGCATGTATTCTAAGCTATCTGACCACCTACAGTTTGCTGCAGTTTCTGGTTAACCTGCTAAAGAACAATGAGGGTTATTACTAAAACTGCACGGTGCAAAATCTGTTGCAGCTCTGCACAGAAACCAATCGGCTTCCTGGTTTTGTTGTCAAAGCTTAATTGAAAAAGCTGAAGTTAGAACCTGATTGGCTACCAAGATTGAGTGTACCAGTTTTAATCAACTTCAATGTGTTCTTAGGGAAAATCCTGTGTGTTGCTCTGCTTTGCCTGCTGTTTTCTATGGGGCGATTTGGATGGAAACGGAACGCCTGTTCGTTTCCATCTGGCTGTCATCCAATCCGCCGGACGGATAGGGAATGGATCCCCATCTGTTTGTTTTTAGCGTACAGGATTGGATGCTGGAGGGTGTCAGTGGATTCATGTCAGCTGACATGCACTGCTCCATAGAGCGTTATAGATGGTCTGATTGGGTCCTCCTGAAGCTGACAGGCAGACCCAATCGGACAGTCTGTGTGAAAGGGGCCTTCTTAATTTTCTCTTTAGTGTTTTTACATGAACCATCTAGTACATCCATAAAGATTAACATGTTTCCAAGGAACAATAATCATCCCTAATCTATTTGCAGATTTGAAGGAAATGTGTCTCACCACTTTAGCAAACTTAACATGGCAGTCTAGAAACAAAGATGAGCATCCAAAAACTATGTTTTCCAAAGACAAGGTAATCATTTATCATGTATAAAATATTTTACATTTATTTTTCCGAGTGTATATTCGGATACTCACAGTATAATACTGCTGTTCTTTGCAGGATATAATTCCATTTATTGACAAGTATTGGGAGAGCCTGACCACACGACAGAGACCGGGAAAGATGTCCTGGCCAAACAGTATTGTGAAAACTATGGTAAATGTCTTCTAATTAAAATGGCGTGTGTGTTTTCTGTGCACTATTTATTTTCCATTTCATATTGTAGAGGACAACAGGTTAGTATTAGGAACCCTGGTGCCCATCCTGCGGCCCTTCGGCACTTTGTGTGGTCCCCCTACAGACACTGTTTCCCTATTGCCCTGTTATAGCAATGATCTCTAAGTGTATGCGGACAGTCTCCTGAATAATATTCCCATTCTAGCATGTCTGCAGTCTTGGACCGTCTCTTGCACCATGTCCACACAGTCTCGATCACTGAAAATTCACTGATGATTTTTTTTTTTTATTTGTGGCCACTTTGTTGGGGGGCCGCATTTCAACATATCAACAAAGTTGACCACCACTGGTCCAGATTCATTGATTATTTACTATGTTCTAGGACTCAATAGGCAACAAAAGTGTTGCTTTTCACAAAATATAACACTTGGAATCCAAGCTGATTTGAGCTTTAAAATGTTTCTCAGTTACCTGATTTTAACACTGTAGTTCTTGCACTTTAAGTGATGGCCATTGTTAGAATGTTTAAAGAAAAGATTCTTGCGTAGAAAATATGCATTGCTCCAGGTTGGCCCACTGATCTACTCTTGCTAACACACTACTAGGTACTGGCCCAGCTTGTAACTGTCCTCACAGGAAAGGTAAAAATGGTAGTCAGCCACACATCTAAAACCACCTTCACTGTTTGCTGCTTGAATAACACAACCACAATCTACAGCAGGGGAATACAGAAAACTGCTAACCTGTTTTGCGTTTTACTCAGCACTTAATCATAGCTGATTGATTCTGGCAAGATTCTTATGTACTGAGAAAATATGGAAGCTGTTGCTGTTTTGTCCTTAACCTTTCCCGGCCTCATTTTATTTTATGATTTTATCTCATTCAGCATTTTTGGGGTCCTCTTCCTCTCCTTCCTGTAGCATCACTGGGTAGTCCCAAATGCTGCAGAGAATAGTGTTCACACAGTAATACCAGAGCCATTCACTGCAGCCTCTCATGTGAGCCCAAGACTTTGTGGTGATGCATCCCTGGGGGTGAGTCTGTGACACCCTGAGCTCACTGGAAGTAGACTGGTGACTCTGGATGGTGAAAGTGATTGGCAATTTTTTTTTTTGTTTTCTTTTTGCAAGTGTGCAGTTCTCCTAAGTAGCAGTATAACCAGAGTCTAAGAATTCTGACAATTCCTGTGTCACTCAGTGGACTCCAAGAAAAGGATTTTAAGTACAAAAATCATACTTTTGCTGGGGGCTTTAGGCCTCATGCACACAGGGCATTGTTACAGCCACTTTTAGGGGTATCGAGTGTTTGTGGGTTTTGTTTGTTGTTTTACTGCTTGTAAATGACCCTCCATGTTATCCTATGTGTCTATGAGGACATAGACTTTAAGGCGTTTACAGGCAGGAAGAAAAACCCAGGGCCAGTGCATCCAGGAGCAGCAGTGTTTTGGCAGAAAAAACACTTGACGCTAGGCACATTTGGCACTTGAGCATTAATTCATTTCAAAGGCTTAAATTAATTCATGCCCAAGCGCTTGACACTTGGGAATGCACCTAAACTCTTGCAAAAGTGTTACTTTTACAACCATCAGGCGGTTTTTCTGCAAAATTGCTGCTGGCAGGAGACTGGCTACTAGGAGGGGTGGTTTTTTTTTGTTTTTTGTTTTTTTTTACACTTTCAAATGTTACTTGTTGAACTGTTTTCATCAGAGGTGTTTGTACTTTCAAGGCACTGACCCGTACGTAATTAGCGTTCACGTTTCTATCCCACCCAAGATGCTGTAAATCTTCTCCTCCCTGATATCTGAAATATATAAATTCACACAGCCATATATTGCATCTATACCAAAACCAAAGAGCAATATAATATGATCCTATATACAATTATAAATAAAGTGCTTCTGTCATGTTCTTACATAAATATCACTTTCTCCATGCGTCTTCCAGGACAGCCCCTTGAAATTACGACTGTCCTGGAAGACTCGTAGAAAAGGCGTTCCCGGTAAGCCTAACTCTGGTTTTCCTATTTGTGTTTCCAATAGGTCATGCAAATAAACTGCTCTAGTGCTCTTAATATTTCATAGAATAGCTAGAGGTGACAATATAACTGGCATGTTTTCAAATAAGTCATGAGAAGAGACTGCTCTCTCATTTGTCAATATAGGAATCTTGTTGGAGTTTATGTAATGGTTGTCCAGTACAGTGTTTCGAAGACCAATGTGAGCATTGTACTAACCTCTGTTTCAGACTAAAGAGCGAGATGTGTTTTTAGTGAAAGAACACCCGGACCCAGGCAGCAAGGACCCAGAAGATGATTATCCAAAATTCGGCCTCCTTGATCAGGTAATAAAACTTCTTCCACCACTTTTTGTATATCTGCCTGTAAAAATAAATAAAATGAGCATTCAGGGATCATTCCAATGTTTTCAGTCTTATTGGGGTAGGGGGGGGTGGTAAATTACTATGCCCTGAATATGGCAGGACCCCCTATCCTTCGCTAGCACTACTGCTAGTGTGAACATTGCCATGACCGTGACAAGGGTCCACTAGCCAGCCATAATGCTTGGTTTACATCTGTGTGGGTGATGCCACTGCAGGACCCGCACAAATACTTGCAGCCACACCACCCACACGGAGGAATGCGGGACCTGCAGGCGGGTGCCATTAATTGTAATGGCACACCGCTTGCACTGAAAATTGTAACCGTAGTGGGAACCTTGGTTCCTGTGCAGGGTGAGATTTCCCAAGTAGTGGAGGGACTTTCCTGCATGTCCTGGGGCACGGGAGTCCATTCAAATGAATGGGCTCTCGTGCCCACGCAAATAGCGGCCACACATATGTGAACCAGGGGTATGGTAAGAATGGGGCAAGATAGAAGACCTCACTTGAGAATGGCTGACCTAGAGTGTTCCAAAGGGGTACTAGGGTTTCCTTGAGCAGAGGCAGATTGATCTTCTACCTGACAGTGCCTATGTAGTTCAGGCACCAATAGCTTTCACAAAGACAGTGGCATGGGACTATTGGAGCAGCTCCTCTTGTCTGTTAACAGTCCAAACCAGTGACCTCTTTGGGTGCCTGTAAAAGGGGGCATTCGTTCCACTGACCAACACCAGTTTAAGGGGGCATTCTTCCCTCTGACTTCGCGAGGGTGTGGTTTTTATGATTTTTGCTGAAAATCTTGGTTTCATATAGTGCTGGGAAGGGCTGGGGTCCCCTATGGGTGTCCAAAAATGTTAGGTATGCAACATTAATAATTTTAATATGTACAATGTATTTGGTATGCTGAATAGTAAAGTAGTTTATGATGATAAAATGTTATTTTGTAGGATTTGGGAAACATCGGTCCAGCTTATGACCAGAAGCAGAGCAGTGCAGTTTCTACTGCAGGAGGATTAAATGGTAAGCTTGACAATGAACAAAAAAGATGATTTACTTTGTTTTCTGTATAGAATAAAATAAGGCTAGCAGGCTGCATGTGAGCTAGGCAGTAAGTTACAGCCTAAACTTTAATATCAAACTTTTATTATCGATCTAAATTTTTCCTGTCACAAGTCTGGGTAATTCTAACTGAAAACCTGATGAAGATGCATAGAAAGGTGTCCGTGTGTGTGTCCGTCCAGCATTCCACTTGATCCAGAGATGCAGACAGCTGAAGTTGTATTAAAATCTTGACTTATTCTGGAAGTGGTGGTGCTAGGCTACCTTTTTTACAGGAAAAGTTCAGACTCTTAGAAATGTAATTTTTCTTTGACATGCAGTAATAATTTAGGAAATCGCCTGAATATGCCTGTGACAGATGTTCTATTTTATTTGACCTTGTAGATTTCTCTCATGGTTTTTAAATTGATGCCTTTTAGGCTCAGCAGCTGCCAGCTCTGCAAAAGGTAGAGGAGCAAAGCGCAAGCAGCAAGATGGAGGTTCTACTAGCGCAGCAAAACGAACCCGAAGGTAATGATTCCCTATATAGGTTTCTCTGTGTGAAGCTTCCATGTTTTGGGAACAAATATTGTGCTTTGGAAAGGCTCCTACCAGGGCCAACACACCACAAGGTTTCCATGGTTAAAGGTTACTTCAACTAAGGATTTTGAATGAAGGAGATATGGAGGCGTTATGCTCAATGTTGCAATCTGCCAAAACTTGCTCTTAGCACTTTTACCTTTTTTAAGTTTGGAGCTCTGAAATGTGTACTCTTAGCACATACAATCAATTAGATTGTGGCAAGGTTTGTTTTTTTTTTTTTTTTTTTTGTTTTTTTTTTCCTTCTAGGATAGATGAGAATATTTAAAAGCCTATTACTGTGTACATCAATCACATTTTTTTTCTTTCTTCTGTTTGTTTGACAATATTACAGTGGTGCCTTATGCAAACTGAAGGGGATTTATGCAGTCAGCTCAACAGACCAATAAAGCAGTTAGTAAATGTGCTTGACACATTAGAGAAATCTGTAGAAACTTAATGTTACTAGTTACTGGGAGCCTCTCTATCTACCATTTCCCCAGTCTGCACATTACATAAGACATGAGATTATTTTAAAGATGCAGTGTACAGTAGATGGCCTCAGCAAAGTTGATGTGTACATAAGGCAGAGGTCACCTAATGTAAAGATACTGCCATGTTGCCCATTCAGGGCATAGTGATGGGGGGGGGGGTGTCATTTACTAAAACTGCATGGTGAAAAATCTGGTGCAGCCCTGCAGAGAAACCAGTTTCCAGGTTTTACCACCAAAGCTTAATTGTACATGCTGAAGTTAGAAGCTGATTGCTTACTATGCACAGCTGCATCAACTTCTGAGTGCTCCAGTTTTTTAGTAAATCTCCCCCAGTGTGTTTTTATAAAGGAACCCCTCCCCCGTCCAATACTTATGTTCTCAGGGATCCCGTGCCACTGCCACATTAGGCACTTTTGGGGGCAACCGGGCGTGGGTATCTAATATTGACAGGCACCTGCTTCCACTTCTGGTCAGATACGCCGCGGTAATCTGGACCAGAAGTTTTGGCCCTCTCCTTCCTCCACAGCCTTCTGGTACACTTCACAGGTCCCAGAAAACTGCCTGACCGTTCACACAGTGCAGCGTGCTTTCACGCATGCACATTAGGAAACTAGCTGTGAAGCCGCAAGCTGCCGGTTTCCCTGGAGATGCTGGCACCTGATTGAAGAATTTGCTCGGGTGAGGACATCACTGGATCCCTGGACAGGTAAGTGCCCTTTTATTAAGTATGTAGCTGCTGACTTTTAAAAAAAAATTGGGGCTGAGCCTGGAGCTCCACTTTAAAGTGAGTTTTGACAATGAGCAATGTAACCACTAGATGGTGCACAATTCACTTATTGCATCTGCAGTCAGACATTAGAGACCCTGTCACTGCAGGGCCAAAATGAGGGGGGAGAAACTTTACTGCATGTAAAAAAAGGGGCAATATTCTTCACTTTCTGTCCCATGTCTTGAAATGCTGCCCACTGCAAGTATTCGATACGTTCATGAAAGACACATGGGAATGTTTAGTTGTTTGGCTAGCAGATTATCCAGCTGGGTTCAGTGAGGTTTGAGTCGCTGACTTGGAACAAGTATGGATATCTGGTAAGGCAGGGTAAAGTTGGACATCCTTATTTGCATGCTTCTTTCAGGTATGGGACACAGGTATTGAAGCAAGAGGGTAAACCTGATGGTCAGATAACTTGCACTTGAAGAGTAAAAAAAGTAGAAATGATCGCTCCAAGGTCTGTCTCCAGAAAAATGTCCTTAACTGCCAGCAACTTTTGAACAGCTTTATGTATCATTTAGCAAAGTCTGCGGTAATCTACACTGTCTGTGGATTACATGCCTCCATGGCTGTTCCTTCCCTAAGACGAGGAGAGAAATTTGTCTTGGGTAATATCATCCTCTTACACTCCATTACCATCTGCTTTCATGAATACTGGGGATACAGTTATGCAACCCCAATCCTGTTTCATAGGGTTCCCAGACATGTATGACTCTTTGGTCAGTGCTAATCGACAGGGAAGCAGAATTTGGCTTCCTTGGTTGAGCTGGTCAGATCTTATTGTTTTAATTCAGAGCCAGGCCATTTCTCCTACCTTGGAGTAAGCTTCTTTGGCATTTGACACTGCTGATGATATTGGTGGATGCCTGTATTCCCCACCACGCACTGATTCTTTTCACTCCCTGCGGTGAAGTAGATGGAAAAGCGTCATCAGGCTTGAGTACCAGTCTTTTTTTTTCTTACTGGTACCTGCTTTATTTAAAACCTTCAGAGACTTAACGGGTCTCCCTAAAATTAGAAAGCTGTTGAGTACCACCCCTGTACTTTGCATTATAAGCGTTCATCCTTGAAAATGTATTTGAATTCATGCCTTAGTTCTTAACACCAAAGCTCAACCACAGAACTGTTCATTTTGCTGGAATTTTTTTCTTCTTCCCTCACTGTGGTTTTTGGAACGATTAGGGGACTCTCACAGCCATGGCAGTTCATGGAAGGGATCAGTTTTCAAACTTTACTGTAAGTAATATATATAATTTTTTTTTTTTTCTCTCTCTAGCGATCCACTATTTGCAGCGCAGCGTCTTCCTCCTCATGGCTATCCACTTGAGCACCCCTTTAACAAAGATGGGTATAGGTACATTCTGGCAGAGCCAGACCCCCATGCACCAGATCCTGAGAAACTGGAGTTGGACTGCTGGGCTGGAAAACCGATCCCGGGAGATCTGTACCGAGCTTGTCTGTATGAAAGGGTGCTGCTTGCCCTACATGACCGTGGTAAGGAGCTTTTTAAAGTGATGTCATCGTAAAGTACATTTATGTATGCTTCATTTACTTATTAACCCTGTGTTTTGACTCATCAGCTCCCCAGTTAAAGATCTCAGATGACCGACTGACTGTATTAGGAGAGAAGGGCTATTCTATGGTCCGAGCATCCCATGGCGTACGCAAAGGGGCCTGGTATTTTGAAATCTTTATAGATGACATGCCACCGGAAACCGCTGCCAGACTGGGCTGGTCTCAGGCACTAGGTAAGATGGGCCAATGTACAGATAAATGGAGCATCCCTTGTGTTTGATGCTAGTTGAAGGCTACGTTTACATCTGATTTTGTCTTTTCTGTCCCTCCTATATTTTTAGAGTATAGCAAACCCCTGGGATTTTTTAGGCTGCTTTTTCATCATTTAAAGGAATACCAACACTGAACCCCAATGCATGGGGGTGCCTATAGAATTAATTCCAACCCGTTGCATCTGCTAAAAGAGCAGTGTCTTTTTGATGGGTTGAGAACATGCGCGTAATAGCACGTGAACCGAAGGTTATTGTACATCACAGGACACGGGGGAGATTGATTTACTAAAACTGGAGAGTGCAAAATATGGTGCAGCTTTGCATAGTAACCAGTCGGCTTCCAATTATTTATTTTATTTATTTATTTTGTCAAAGCTTAATTGAACCAGCTGAAGTTATAAGCTGATGTGCTACAATGCACAGCTGCATCAGATTTTGCACTCTCCAGTTTCAGTAAATCAACCCAAGGGTGGTGGTGTTCCTATTTTTTGGGTTATATTACAGGCAAATGGACACTTGCCCAGGTATAACTTATCCCAGCTCAGCTAAGCCTTCGTTTTTTTGCCAGTGTTCTTAGTTGATGGATGTGCCCGTGAAATCTCTCGATTGTTCTGTGGGCAATAATCCACTGGTTTCATGGCCAGTTCTTCACACCCCTTCACAGGAAGGGAAATGCTTGATTGGATTGATTAGCTACAGCCCTGGGATCCAGAGAGACAGACCCTGCTTGGAGGGAAAAAAGGGAGAGCCTGTAAGGCTGCAGGCAGTGCTCTTTGGGGTATCTAATATCCAGTCACCGTGCTGGTAGGGTGCTGCAATACAGGTCCAAGGCAGTAATTGCTTTTGGACAAGTCGGGTCCCTGAAGCCTTTGGGACAGCTGTACCACTGCGGGTCAATGCACCATCATAGCAGTATCCAAAAGGAATCCATATCACGCGTGCATGATGTTATTGAGCAAGTTTGCGCAGGTGCTATTTTTAGGTTCCCTTGAGTGGGGTTGGACACAAATGTGGAGGGCCTGACTTAAGCCAGCCGTAGATGGGTTGAATTCTGAAATCATTTTCTTTCGAAAATCTTTTGTGAGAATTTTCTTTTGAATTTTGCACCATTAGTGGGCCACAGCAACGTCTGATTTTTCAGGCGGCCATCGAATTTGAGTGATCGGGCATGTTGGAAACTTTTTGAAAAGCGAACGAATTTCTAATCAATGATGGAAAAATCGTGCGAGAAATTAAATGTGATTGAAAAAGAAATGAGTATGAGCTGTGACCTGGGAAGAAAAGAATTCTTGGCCACAAAAATTATTTTGTGCAGCATCATGAGGTGAAATTAAAGGCTTGGACGACCATCTGATTACAAAACTCACAATTTCTGATTTTTCTAAAGAAAATTCATTTGGAATTTGACCTATGTTTGGCCTGCATAAGAGTTGCAAGGTTTTTTTTCCCTCTCCCAACCCCCCCACCCCCTACCCTACTGTACTTTCTCAATTGCAGAAAGTGGTGTGCCTGTTTGGGTTCACCCAGTGAAGGTGTTCTTGCCACTGAAGCGATCTGCTGATTGGCACCCCATGAAGGAGGAATTATACAAAAATGGGGTTCTCTTAACTGTTGATCGGGCCATTTCCTATTTGAAATGGATGAGGTTCTGTTCTTGAAATACACTATGGAAAAGAGGTGGGAGGCCCTCTTTAAAACCTCCCTGGCGGTCTAATTATGTCAATATTTTTCAATGTCAAAGCGGTACATTGTTTTGCACGGAAATTTTGTTTTATATTGTAGGCCTGTAATTCTTAGGAATAACTCCCTTTTTAAATCCAGTCCAAACGAGACTAGTAAACATCCCAGATATGATGAAGTTTGAAACCTGAAATCATAAATTTATAATATAAATTATAAAAAAAAAATCAATTTAATTTAATAATGTAATCAAACCAAAAACACTTAAATTTGAAATGGAGCACCAAGTTTGCACATCACTGAGTTCAGTCGCGGAATCGCCGCTGTCGTCCCTTTCAGTGTCTGATGACGAATTTCCCCGCGAATCACTATCGCTCAATTCTGCAAGTGATTCTAATTCAATATCACTGTTTTTCTAGCTGGTCTAAAACCGCTTTTGACCTAAAGGGATGCTTTTTGGATGCCATGGATGTTTCTCAGTTTCCAGACAGAACCGTAAAAGTACAGGCAGGGCACAGGACAAAGCACTCGGGACAATATTTAGTGGAAATCGTTTGATACAGTAATTAATACTAACAGATTACAATGTATTGTGCATATGTTATGTTTTTTTACTTTATTAAAAAAAAAAAAATCTCCTGCCAATTCCGCCATCACTCTTTTATACTTCTTTAACGTTTTTGTTCCGATCGTAATTGACTTGTGATGCTTGCTATGAAAGTGGAAAGTGATATATATCATCTCTTCATGTTCAGGTAATCTTCAGGCTCCTCTAGGTTATGATAAATTCAGCTACTCCTGGCGCAGCAAGAAAGGCACCAAGTTTCACCAGTCTATTGGAAAGCATTACTCTGACGCTTATGGACAGGGCGACACGTTGGGATTTTATATCTGCCTGCCAGATGAAACCGAGACTGCTCAGGCTCTGCCTGACACCTACAAAGACAAGGTACATTGTAACATAGATTACTTTACTGTCCAGTGTAATTCTCGGGTGTACTTCTCAAATTACATGAACACTAGAATAGAGTGCATGCATGCTGAGAGACTGAATATGCTGGGTAAGACTGAATTCCAATGACAATATGTTACTAAAATTGCATCTCTAGATCTCAAAACAGTTTTATGTCTTATATAGTCGCAAAATATTAATGTTTGGACTAAATTGCATTTTATAGTCCACCTCACCAACCGCTCCCGATTGCCCAACACATCAAACTGCTAACTCTGACTTACAAAGCCATTCACAACGCCGCCCCAAACTACATAACTGACCTGATACCCAAATACTACCCTACCCGTGCCCTCCACTCCTCACAGGACCTCCTACTCTCTAGCTCCCTGGTCTCCTCCTCCCACGCCCGATTGCAGGACTTCTCTAGAACTTCCCCATCCTCTGGAACTCCCTCCCCCAATCCATCAGACTGTCACCTACCCTCCTCACCTTCAGGCGCACCCTGAAAACCCTCCTCTTCAGAGAAGCCTACCCCAACCTCACCTAACACCTGACCTCACCTAACAACTAACCTCCTCCACTCCTCCCACCACTCCATCCCCTACTGCCATTTCCTCCTGTACCACCTTCCCCCCTCCCACCTAGATTGGAAGCTCGAAAGAGCAGGGCCCTCAGACCCCTTGTGTAGTGTATTGTTACTGTCTTGTCTCATGTTCTGTCCCCCCTGCTACTGTACAGCGCTGAGCATACTCTTTGGCGCTATATAAATACTGTACAATAATAATATAGTGAACACATGCCCTGGCTATGAATGTCTAAAGTAAATATTCTGAACGAGCAGTAAATTCACTTTAAACAAGCCCTTGTTACCCTCTGTAGCTATATGCATTGAGGAGAAATTAATCTTCAAAGTTCACAATACAAGCACTGAGATCGCAACTCTTTTTATAAAAAAAAAAAAAAAAAAGAGGAATCCTTGGGTGCAAAGATATGCTTCACTTGGCACATGTACCAGGATCATATTTTATATAGAATTGCCTTTTTTGGCTTGGGAAATCTCCTCTTAATGGGACACATATGGGAGGGGGGATCATGGAGTTATAAATTTATTTATTTGTCTTTTTTAGCTATCTTGTTATGGAAATGCAGGGAAGCGTTCCTAACATAACTTGCATAGAATAGCAGCTTCTTCCATACACATGTGCAGGGGGTGACTGCTGTTAGTCTCAGCATTAAAGTTCAGGGAAATGGCACCAGGGCTACTAGACATGCAAACTGAAGGGCAAGCAAGTCATGCTGAAAAAGTGGTCTATCATGCAGCAATTCATGTTGGCTAACCCAGTTTGTAGGTTGTCTGCTGTAGTGTGTTGGAAGGAATTCTCATGTCTCTTGTGTTCTCTCAAAGGCATTGATCAAATTCAAGAGTTACTTGTACTTTGAAGAAAAAGACTTCGTGGATAAAGCTGAAAAAAATTTAAAGCAAACGCCTAGCAGTGAGGTGAGTGGCAAGCCCTTATTTTGCTAGGGGGGGAAAAAAAGGCTTATGTCTTTAATGAGTATCTCCATCCAAAGCTCACTATGTGGAGGGCATAGGTATATGAACACTTCTACAAATGATTACGTTCAGATGTCTCCAGTGAGGGTGGTAATGCTACAGCATATAAAGAAATTCTAGACAATTGTGCATTCCAACTTGTGCCAATAGTTTCAGGAAGGCCCTTTTTGTGTTCAGCAAGATTGTACCCCTGTGCGCAAAGGCAGCTTCATAAAGACATGGTTTGACTAATTTGATGTGAAGGAACTCGAATGGACTGCATAGAGGCCTGACCTCACCCCTGCTGCAGCCATTTGCTAACCAGGTCATCTTTTCAAACATCAGTACTTTTAACTTGCAAATGCTCTTTTTGCTGAATGGGCACAAATTCCCACAAACTTCAAAACCTTGTGGAAAGCCCTCCCAAAAGAGCAGAGGCTTTGGTGGTTTTTGGGACAGGATGTCCAAGTAGCTCAGGTGTCCACAAATTTTTGGCCATTATAGTGTAACTTTCAATTCAATATGTAAAGTTGCTGGGAAATGGGAATGAAAGTTGCCTGTAGGCATATGGATTTAAAAGCTGAAATGCCTTGTTGCTATTGGCCACACTTGCCCCCTTCTTTTTTCAGCAGACTAATCGAAAAAACAGGTTGCCGTACTAAGCAATGTTGGTGTGGAGATCTCCCCAACTTGAGCTATTGTCCCGACAGGAGGTCTGCCCCTTCCCCGCCAGAACTCTCTAATCAATGCTCACAGCCATTGGCTGCCAACGCTGATCAGATGCTGGTTCACTGATCACGCCATGCGTGGTTTTCCAAAAATAAAGGGTGTTGGATACAACTCATTTTGTTGATTCATAAATTCACTCAAGTAATGGTCTTCTGAATGTTCTGGATAAATGTTGGAAATTCCTTTTAAGGGAGGTATGCTCCTGTACCCAAAGTGAACCTAGAATTGCCCTGACTGATCTTTCTAACATTTGGGATAACTGAATTATTGCAGATCAGTAAAATCATAACATTATTACATGTCTCTCATCCATTTTATTTTTATGTTTCAGATTGTATTCTTTAAGAACGGTGCCAACCAGGGCGTGGCCTATAAAGATGTTTTTGAAGGTGTATATTATCCTGCCATATCGCTCTACAAGGGCTGTACTGTAAGTATATGCTGCGTGTGCTGTACTTTATATGAATGACAAGATGCTTGTTGCTGCTACAGTAATCAGTTTTGATGCCAGGTGACAGGTCTGTGGAGGCAGATCTAATTGTCAGATGACCAAAGCTGACCATATAGGTTAAGATTTCTCTACACAGTGGGGTTTTGATGATGCAAGATTTTGGTTTAGCTGCTGCACAAGGATTCGTAACCTTCAAAAGAATCTGAAGGCCTAATACATACCAAAAAAGTTACATTCTTCTCTCCCTTTATCTTCCTCAATTGCAGCAAGACATTAAAACCTATCTGTTTATAGAGGAGGCAGTCATCACCTGATCTTGGTGACTTTGGCACTTTGGCAACTTCAAGCAATAACTGATATTCAGTTGAATGTTAGGTTTTTTTTTTCTCGGTTTTAACTGTTTTTTTTTTTTGCAAATCCATGTAAAGTTTTCTGGGAGAGAATAATTGAATAATTTACTCAAAAATGTGCAGACTGCTCTTTTACATTACAAGCTCACTCAAGAAGTTAGCTTGGGAACTACAGCAGTTTCCCAGTATGCACTGCAGAAGTGTCGCTGTGCTCAGACTCAGGCATTTATTGCCCTTAGACTTGCAGGGAGAGTTTGTTGCTTCCTAAAGTGGAACTTTAGCTAAAATAATAAAACATGGACAGGCAGGAATATTAATACAAAAGAGACATGCTTTGTCTCTTCTGTATTAAAGCTACTCACCTGCCTCTCTGTTGAATTTGTACAGTGAGCTGCTCAATGTACAGGAACAATGTGGAATCTGACTAAATTCCTGCGCATGCGCGAGAGTGACTTCATTCCCGACAATGACTGCACCCAGGGACCGAGACCCAAAAGCTGGCTGGGCGGCCATCAGAGGGACGCTGCATTGCTGGAACGGGGGGAGGGGAGTACCACTTTAAGCATTTTATTAGAAGGTTGAGAATTTACCAGACACAGTTCATTCACAAACTTTATCACATGCTGTGGCATGGTGACAGCTTTCATTCATCTTTGTGGTATAGGTTTAACACTAGCATAGTATTAGCATAATTACAGGTAATAAATGCCTTTCAAAACTTGGTTGATTGCATGCAAAGTGTTTTATATAAATTTTTGTTTTTTACGTGTTGCAGGTGTCTATAAACTTTGGACCACATTTCAAATACCCTCCAAAGGATTTGTCATTCCGTCCAGTAAGTGCTGATTTTGGAATATCTGCTTTACTAATGTCTGTCAGGATTATAATCTCCTAGTGTCTGTATTGCTGACATGTATAATGTGTAAGCTATGGTGTACAGTGGGTAAAAGCAAACGACTAAAGTGGGGCAACAAAATTGCTAACCTAACAATTGTAGGAGGTAGCTGGCAGTGTAAGACATCATGTATTGTAATGATTGGATCTCCTTTTGAATTGTCTTCACTTCCTCATAGTGCAGATCCGGGATGGGCACACCATTTTGTGCAGGTACAGAAGGGCCCTTTTTTTTTTTTTTTTTTTTTTTTTTTTTTTTTAAATTGAGGCCCATATTTACTGTATATGGGCCAGGTGAATGGGATCTTGCTGGTGTTTACTATGTGACCCTAGTTGCATATTAGACCATATGAGAATTCAGGGTATCAAAAAGGCTAATCTTTGCCTTCATTGATCTATCCAGAATAAATAGATGTGTGCACTTAGGCAATAGTTAAACAGGGTCCCAAAAATACTACTTTGACAGGGGCCCATTGATGACTATGGGGTCGATTCACTAAGCGTTAAATAATGATTTGAAAAATATGGTAAAATAACTCATGCGGTAATGAAATTTTCAAACATGCAATTCACTAAGAAATTTGTTACATAACTCATGTGGTAAAGAGTTCGTAATTCAATAATTAGTACGTATTGGTGTTCGGAATTTTATTGCATGTCCTTCTCCACTTCTGGTGTATGCGTGCGTGTGTAAATTTTTTTTTTTTTTTTTTTTTTTAACACACATTATGACTGACACACCCTATTGCCCAAAGTATTGGGACGCCTGCCTTTTACATGCCCATGAACTATTGAGTTGGCCCACCCTTTGCAGCTTTAACAGCTTCATCTCCTCTGGGAAGGCTGTCCACAAGGTTAAGGAGGGTGTCTATGGGAAGGTTTGACTATTCTTCCAGAAGTGCATTTGTGAGGTCAGGCACTGATGTTGGACGAGAAGGCCTGGCTCCCAGTCTCCGCTGTAATTCATCCCAAAGGTGTTCTATCGGGATGAGGTCAGGACTCTGTGCAGGCCAGTCAAGTTCCTCCACCCCAGGCTCTCTCATCCATGTCTTTATGGACCTTGCTTTATGCACTGGTGCAATCATGTTTAAACAGGAAGGGACCATCCCCAAACTGTGCCCACAAAGGCAGGAGCATGAAATTGTCTGTTTACACTTGGCACAATGCAGTTCAGGCAAATACCGTTCTCCTGGTAACCCGCCAAACCCAGATACGTCCATCGGATTGCCAGACAGCAAAGCGTGACTGATCACTCCAGAGAACATGTCTCCACTGCTCTAGAGTCCAGTGGTGGCGTACTTTACACCACTGCATCCCACACTTTGCATTGCACTTGGTGATATAAGGCTTGGATGCAGCTGCTCAGCCATGGAAACCCATTCCATGAAGCTCTCTATACACTATTGTGCTAATCTGAAGGCCACACGAAGTTTGGAGGTCTTTAGCTACTGACTCTGCAGACAGGTGGCGATTTATGCGCACTGTGCGCTTCAGCGTGTTCTGACCCTGCTCTGTGCTTCCACTTTGTTATAATACCACTAACAGTTGACCGTGGCATATTTAGTAGGAAGGAAATGTCACGGATGGACTTATTACACAGGTGACAACCTATCACAGTACCACGCTTTAATTCATTGAGCTCCTGAGAGTGACTGGAACACCTGAAACCAATTATTTGGAGGGGGTGTCTCAATACTTTTGGTATGTGTATCTCTATCATCTATCTCTAGATCTCCTTGCCCCAATACCACAATGCAAATGGTATATGATGACTGCTTTATGCAGTCAATTAACTCCTATAGCTGTTTCCAGCTAGCAGGCAGGAAACAAGGTGTGCACGAACACAATAAAAGCTGAATTGTATGAGTTTCATTACACTGCTAGGGACTGTCCCATGCTCCTCTAAACTTCTTGTTAACTGTTTTGAACACTTCCCTCCTACTCTCAGCTCCTGAACCATGTTATACTCTGTTGCACTGACACAGTGCTGCCAGTCTGTTTTGAGAGTGAAGATAATCCTACCGTGACCAATAACCTAAAAATGCTTCAGAATTCAGAAGGCATTCAAATAGAATTTCAAAATCCCCAAAAAATGGGGGGGGGGGGGGCTTTATTAATAGGGAAATGGGGCAGAAATTTTGGCCACTGCAGCATATCGGCTGAAAATAGCCCGGTCAGGATCTGTCACCCCCCCCCCCCCCCCTCTCTCTCTCTCCCCCCCCCCCCCCCGCTAAAAGAAAACAAAGTTTCCTTTCGTTTCTTTCCCGAGATAAAAGAAACAGTTTTCCTTTTTAGCTCCGGGAAAAGTGACAGCTATTTCTGTGAGCTATAGCAGAAGAAAAAATTAGCCGGCAATTGCATTTAAAAATCGGCACCGACATGTAGTGACAGCCAGTGAGGGAGCCTCTCTGTATATACACTGCTCCTCACCCCACCCCCTCCCCCTGCAAAGAGGACCTGTCACTCATATGCTATCACATAGGGGACTATTGGTCCTATGTGATAGCAATAAAATCAAAAGTTAAAAATATACATGAAAATAGGAAGAAAAAAAAAATTGGAGCCTCCCCACATACGCAGACGTTTCGGTTTGGTTTTCGGCCCTGTGCATTCTAAATTTTCAGTATCTGTTTTGGCACCAGAATTTTCATTTTTGTGCACCACTATTAATAAATACAGTACTGTGTAAACGTTTATAGGCAAGCGTAAAGAAATGCTGTGAAGGGAGCTTTCAAAAGTATATATTTTTACCAACTGACAAAATGCAAAGTGAGCAAACTGAAAAGAAAATCAAATTAATATTTGGTGGGATCACCCTTTTTGCCTTCAAAACTGCCTTCATAGCTGCATCAATTTTTCTAGGTACACTTGCACACAGTTTTGAAGTGACTCGGCAGGCAGATTGCTCCAAATCTTGGAGAAGTAACCATAGATCTTATGTGAATATAGGCTGCCTCAAATCCTTTTGCGTCGTCATGTAATCCCAGACACTCATTGTTGAAGCCAGGGCTTTGTTGGGGCCAAACCATCACTTCACCCTGCCAAGCAAACATTGACTCTAATTTGGAGGCTCCGCACTCTGAGCCAGTCTGTCGTATTCCATGGTGCTCAATGAACACTTTTTGATTTGGAGATGTTTAGGCAGCATCTGGGGGAAAGAGGAGAAGCAGGGCACTAATAGTGTACAGAAACCGTAAGATGTAATAGGACTTTTTTTTTTTTTTAGAGCTGATATTTGATCACAAGCATGGCTGGACCATGTTGTATAAGATGGGCTTCATAAAACAATATGATCTTTCAGTCGGGGACCATGAAGTGTGACGTTCTGTAATTTTGTAGTTGTGACATGGGGCTGACATTCTGGTTTTAGAGAAACAGCAAAACTCCAAATTCCAGACAACACAGCACAAAGCTCTTTTTATTGTAGAGGTGACATAATCGGCTGACAATTCTCACAACTACCATTTGGCTGCATGAAATCGACAAGTGAAAGCTTCCTGTTAAATAAGTGCTTAAGCAGCAGATGTGAGCAAATTGCCATAGTTTTTGTTATCTATACTGACAGTTGTTGAATTAGGAGCTTGGTCATTGGTTTAGAATTTTTAAACTCCTGTCCAAAATATATATTGTATATAACCTAAGGGCAAGTGTTACCCATTACTGTCATGCTAAATGGCACATTCTAACATCAGAATGGATAGTTTTTCAGCAAAACTTACTGAGCCTCATGTAAAGTCATAGTAGCTGTACCTGCTTTTGGATATGTAGTGGCCTGAAAAGTAAGTGGGGTTTCATCTGGGGTGGCAGTGGCTTGTTCTGTGTTGGAGAGCTTACCCAGGTATATCTGCATGTCATTCACTGCTGATTGGTGTGTTTCCCCCCTTCTCTTTTTTTTTTTTTTTTTTTTCCTTTCTGTGTATTTTATACATTGCACTGACCAATATAGTTATGCAAAGTGGGAATTGACCTTCAAGTTCCTTGATTTGGTTTGTATTGTAGCCAGCTGTTTTTTGCTTTCATATATTATCATTTGACTTTCTCTGTAAAATGTATTTTTATATCCTTACTGGGTGCAGAGGTCAGTTGTCCCATATGTAAAATCTAAAGGAGAGGGGATCCATACATGAAAAGTAAATCTATTGTGGGGGAATTATAAAGCCAGAGAATAGCAGATCTGGCACATTGCAAGGGCAAATTTTGCTGCCTCTCTATGGCAAATTTGTGATCCTGGTTACTGAAATCCTAGGCATCCTACTTCTACAGTTATGCAAGGTATTAGGTTTTCAATCAAAATCACAATGAAAAACCACTCTAGAAGGTATCCATATTATTATTATTATTATACAGTATTTATAAAGCGCCAATAGTTCACTCAGCGCTGTACATTACAAAGGGGGACAGAACATGTGACAGAACAATACCAATACAATGCAAAACATGAGGGGATTGAGGGCCCTGCTCTTTCGAGCTTACAATCTAGGAGGGAGGGGATGGTGGCACAGGAGGAGATAGCTGTGGGGGATGGAGTGGTAGGAAGAGTGGAGGAGGTCAGTCAAGTTAGCAGGGGGTGGGGTAGGCTTCCCTGAAGAGATGGGTTTTCAGGGTGCGCCTAAAGTAGAGGAGAGTAGGTGATCTGATGGGTTAGGGCAGGGAGTTCCAGAGGATGGTTGACACCCTGGATAAGTCCAGGAGGCGGGCATGGGAGGAGGAGACCAGGGAACTAGAGAGAAGGAGGTCTTGTGAGGAGCGGAGTGTGTGTGCTGGGCGGTACTTTGATATTAGGTCAGTGATGTTCAAAGCAAGAGTCGTCATGGCTACCTCCATGGGGTGCAGGGGTTTTGAAAGACCATCTGCAAATCCCTATCATTACTCAAACACTCTGCCCTGAACATTATTTGACGTAGTTGGCACGATAGAAGTTCATGGCACCAACTAGTTATGTGCAGGGTCCAGAAGTCTGGACACTTGTTCAGCTGACATGACATCTGTGTTTACAAAGCTTTGTGTCTTGCAAAGGTCACCATGGAAGGTAAGTATAATTGCCATATTGTACTTCATACTTGTGGAGTTTTTCTTTGAGAAGTGGTCAAAAGAATATCTTATATTGGCACAGTATGCAGGTTCTCGTTGCTCATATTTTGCAAGTCTATCTGTGGGAAATGGTACCATAACTGTCCCCTTTCATCCTGTAGAGAATATAACCATAGCTGTACTTTTTGGAGAATGCACCTGTCCAACTCTAATGTGTCCATAACTATCCATCTCTAAGAAATGGGCCTGTAGCTGTTCTACAAATATATACCTTTTGTGCCAGACCTCCTTCTTGTGGTTTACCCAGTAAAAGATAACCAGATACCACTCATGTGATCCTGTATGGTCCACAGTTTAGTGCTTGACAATTTTTTTTTTGTTTTTCCTCCCTCTACAGATGAGTGACATGGCATGGATGGCAGTTGTTGAACATACATTAGCAGACGCTCTATACCATGTGGAAACAGAGGTTGATGGCAGAAAGAGTCCTCCATGGGATGCTTAAAGGCCTTAATGCTAGTTTCTTTTTATAGTGTGTGTGTTTTTTTTTAGTTTTTTTTGTTTTTTTTTTTGTCCTCCCAATTTGTCTTCCTTAATTTGTTTTTACTGATCTTTCAATGAAGAAATGACTGGGTTTTCTCTGGCAATAGGGGAGAAAAGTCTTCTCGGTGCATTTACTGGGCACCTTACTAGAAGTGGAGCTTGGCTCAGGGCTCCACTAGTTACTGAGGGCTTCTTCGAATACATTGGCCTTTTTACATTTCTTTTTTCTGGGTGGGATATTGTTTTTCTTAGCAGTGGAGATCATTTTGTCGCACGTTTCTCAAAAAAAAAAAAAAATACTGGCTCAGATCACATCCTAGGTGGTTTCTTCCTGTACAGGTTTAAAAAAAAAATTATCCGTTTGGTTAAAGTGAGACATAATGGAAAACTCCACCTCAAATGCTTTTTGTGGCAGAAAGTGAAGGGAGCAGTTTTCACTGGACAGAAATTTTTACAGAAGATCATAGGAACCTGAGTTTCTAACCTTTTTGAAAGTAATGTTTGTGGAGATAATACCCAAGACTTGTTGACCTTGCTGTGAGGAAGTGAAATCTGTACAATAGGAAGATAAACTTCAATAAAACATTGCATAGTTGAAGCAATAAGGGCACCAAACAAACGTCTTGGGAATCCAATCAATAACATGAAAGCAAAAGGCAGACAACACTTTTCAGGGACCAGGAAATCCTCCATGGCTTAAGCAATGTATCAGAGGGTTCAGTGGGCTCAAAACACATCTCGTGAGACAGGTCTCTGTAACCGCTCATATCAAGGAAGATTGTGCCAGTATCAGCAGCAAATTGACATTTGGTTGGCGTGTTTTTCTGACCAAAAAAATGCTATGCATGCCTTTTTTTTATGTAATTTTCTATTGTTTGCATCCTTAGAGTTCGGACCTCCAAGACTTGTTTTGGTGTACTTGTTGGCTTGACTACAGATGGATTTCTCAAGCTGGGTGACTCCCATTTTGCAGAGATCTCCTGTCTTCAAGCCTTCAGGCTCAAGTAAATGTTCCATTTTAAATCCTCTACCAACCATTTATTGCATAGGTATTAGACACTTAAGCTGGCCACTATATTCTTGGAAAGGCTCATATGATCTTAGTCCATATGAAATGGCTTTTGGTAACCTTCACAAATTTAGAAAAACTTTTTCCAAATCAAGAGGTTTCAGCTATAGATCTGAACCAAAAGTGGATTATTAATCTTCATGCAACTTGACTTCCTGTTGGGAATCAAAAATTGGCATTCTTGTCAGCTATAGAAAAGAAATTTGTGTCCATTTACAAAAGCCTTATGCATGTGCCATTTGATTCCTAGGTGCTACTCCATTTTATTAATCATGTTTCTTTTTTCTTTTCAGTTTTATTGCATGTATCTGATTTTTACCAAATTAGTGCAATTTTATTGTTTCTGTATTATTCTGCTTATTGTGTGTCCTAAAATCTTCTAGTTTCTTAATGGTGTAACAATGACTTTTTCAATGAGGTGTCTGAGGATATCAGAAGAAGAAAAAGCCCTTAGAAGTGTATTTCCACTTTCTCAGTCAAGTTTGAGAACCCTGTTGTGCGTTTTTGTTCCCATTCATTGAGCAAAAATTGTTCTCAGAAAATGTTTAAATATTTTAAGATGTTTCTTAGAAGAAGGCCTCCTGGATTTTTGAACAATGTCAGCGTGAGCCTATCCTAAGGACAGGCTGAGTCTCCTCTCTTTAACCCATAATGCAAGAAGCCCAGCTTGTAAACCCTTTGTTAGGACAGACTGTGTTCAAATCTAGTTTGTGATGATTTTAATATGTGCCTGCCCAGTACAAGACAGGGTTACATATGGCAAACACAGCTGCCCTGCCCTCAAAGAACTACATGGAACTGGAAAATCCAGAAGTGTAAAATTCTAAGAATAAAAAGAAGGAGACCACGTTGGGTGGGAAGGTGTGTTAACCCTCAGGATAAGCAGGTGCCACATCCTGATTCTAATTTCGACAAGCAAGGAAATGAAACATATTGGATCGCAGTCCATGGACTTTCTGGGCACCACATCACAATATTTACTTCCAAAAATACAATCTTTTATTTCTGTATATTAAAACCTTAAGAGGGCTGCACTCTGTTGTATACTAATCAGACAACCACAAATATGACGTGCTTGTGACTAGGAGACAAACCATTTTTCTATATAGTGTGTGTGACCACCACCCTAATCGACACAAGCGTGCAAGATGGTACTTTTAATTTGCATTTTAATTTAAGTTTAATGGTTTAACATATGCAGAAATAAAGATTGTATTTAAGTAAATATTGTGATGTGTTGCCCATAACGTCCATGGACTTCCTTTCTTTGCTCTGGAATTTCCACAATGGCTTTGCATAAAGGTGAGTGGCCATTTTTTTTTAAAAACACTTTTTTCTTTTTAATATATGCTGTGGGGATGAGAACATTTAACAGATTCAAAGTAGGTGTTATCCCCAGTTTGGCTGCAAAATTGGAAATACACTTTTAAGGTGGTGATAAAGTAATGATTATAGAGCTAAATCACCAAGTTATAAGAAGTTGAAGCTTTTAATAGGTAATAGACCCTGTCCTAGCCAAACATAACACCCTTCACCATATAACCTGTTGCTACTGTCTGTCATATGAAGGAACAATCTGGATTTTTTTCAGTCATCTGTTTCTTCACCATTATAGGTTAGGTCTTAGTCAATCATCACATGAATGTACAAATCAAAGCCAGTAATTGGTCAAACTTGTGTCTCTAATCATGGTGACAATGACCCGTGGTACAGAGCTGAAATAACTGGATGTGCTCTTCAGTTATAACTGACATTCATAGCTTGCAATAAAATTCTGATCTGAGATCTGTAGCTAGAGTCGGCACAGGGAAGGACCCAACATTCTCTGGATGTGTATAATTCATAGAAAAAAGTGAGTGGCTAAATAAAAGTGCATTTTGAAGAAGATTAACAATGACATGAGTACATATTATAAAATACTACCACAAGTGTTTTCAAAGGAAATGTTAGGTCTTGTGACAGGATCTCTTTAAATCTAAAATAACCCATGCAGCTTTGTGACTTGACACAATTGCCTTTCTCAGAATGGTTGACAAGTCCCAGGTAGTGACCACACTTTTTCATAACCCAACTGATATTTCTCTTTGTGGGTTTTTTGGCCACTTTTCAGATCTATTGTTTTTGGGTATAGTTAACGCCTAAATGCTGAATTAATGGTTTCAACAGCTTTCTGCTTTTGTGATGATTGTATGTTCTTCAATCCTTTTTGCATAGCAGAATTGTTTGTGTTGGACAAAAAGGATTGGATGCTGTTACACTTGCATCATACTTTTACTACTTTTATCTTCATTGGCCTACACTGATTGGTCTGACAGTGTATGTTGGCTTTATGTCAAAAGCTGAATACAAGGTCAAGTGTTTAAAGAGGAACTTTCACCTGCCCATTCAGGTCTGTGTCACCTGAGTCTTCCACCCTAGCAAAGTATAACCTATCTGTGCTCCCTCACCACTGGAGCACCAGGTATGGGGAAGCATGCGACAACTCCTCCATCATCCCAACAATGCTTGGTTCTGAGCAGCCAATCAAGCCCAAACACTTGTCATATTGGGCGACTCATCAATCCACCCAAGTAAACTCATGACACCAAAGTTTTCCCCGGGATGAACTTTTCCTGCTGGTAGGCAGTGAGGGGGGATCAGAGGCTATGCCTTGGTAACTGAGGTTGGCTACCAGAAGACTGTACTCAATGGGAAGGTGACAGGTTCTCTTTAAGCCAGAGATGTTTTGGTTACTTATTTTTAAACTGTCTGAGCCACTGTTTTATGTAAGGTGTCTTTTATTGCAGAAATGCTATTCTCTTCTAATCTATGGCATCTTTTTTTTTTTTTACCTCCAATTGGTATTCTATTATCCCATTCTTCCCACCCAAAGGAATCTTTACAACAGTACAGTTCTGCATAGTGCCAATAACACATTGCCTGTTATTTCTAGCACTTCTATATGTATCTGGCAAAGTATTACTTCCTGGTCACTATGAGGCCCGATGTGTTGCTGAATCTGGTGTTTGTTCAGATGTAAAAAATTATTCTTGTAACAAATGTTTTGTTTTAAATAAAGATTTTTTTTTATTTACTGAGATGTCTATTTATTGTGCCTAGTGTTCTACATGTGACAGAGTATAGACCAAACTAGAACCCAGTGTTTAGAAATCTTGTCTGGGTTCAGGAGAAGCACCCAACTGTATACATGCCCATTGGTGTGCCTCTCATATTTTATATTTAATGATCTGTATACAGAGTGACTGGGTGAACAGGCCCTGTGTTTTGTTTTATGATTGGGCTTAAAGTATATGTCAATAAAGGCAGTTTATTTGTGAAGATTGATATCTGATTGAAAAGGCACTTAAACTAGCAGACATCATTTCTCAGCTGTCTTTGGTGTGCGCAGAAAAGACCAACTACATCTGCTGTCCACACTTCAACCCTTCCAAAACGCCAACCGGGCATGGGACCATGTTTTTGGAAGAATTCCCTTTCATCAGCTGCTATACTTGCCTGCCTTGCATTTTGTTGTACAGCAAGCAATACTTGTTCATATGTTGTGTGTAACTTCTATTCAACAATGGTTTTCCTTTTTGTTTTGTTTTTAATTGGCCTGTCCTTTTTGTTATCTGCCTGAGTGCCACAAAGAACCTGTATAGTTTTGTGAAAATTTATGGGAGATCAGACAAGATTTAAAATTGCTACAATTTACCATTTTGATAATTTGCAAGGTCTGTCAGTGCCATAGGCAGTGCGGCTCATTTTCAAGAGTGGTATGAATTTAGTCTTTCAACCAGGGTGCCTTCAGGATTTTTTTAGGGGTGCCTTGGCAAAATGCATAAAAATTGCCCAAACTTTTTGACAAGCCAGTGCGTGGATCAAGCCTACCTTTTTGTTATACAAAGCCATGG